CTTTTCAGTACGAAAACATATTACTTAATATATTCATACCAGCCAGACAGAAATTGCATTAGGAATATAAATGGACAACAATTGATGCATGTCTAGCAATATACTGTTTGAAAGGCCGCAAGATGTAATGAAATAGCAAACCAATCACTACTTGAGTCGGACTGGCTGGGAAACTGTGCAATACATACAAAAATGTATGCAAATGATATATGAGCAGCTCCACCAAATTTAAAAATATTCTTTCCATAATTATGACTATAATGTGAATGTGATTTTCCACTCCTTAGCAATAGTAGTTAGAGTATTGTATTGTACTGTATCGTACAAGTTTATTGTGATTCTAAATGTGTTTGTAATATTATTTAGCTTTATTTAGGATTCTGTTTAGTTGGTTAACTTTACTGTATCTTAATGTAGTTTATTTTTAAATGACCATAGAACACCTCACTGTAGTTTGTTTTAATGTTGAATAAATATTATTATTATTATTAAAATCAGTCACAGTACAATAGTAACGTATTGCGCGAAATTGTTGCAAAGACAATACTTTTCTCAATTTGCGTGCCGTCGTGCGTCTATAAAAAATGCATGGAATGGTCGGCAGTATCGATCAAGTTCGTCTAGTGTGACATTCGTGGCTGGCGAAAAGCAAGATGCTGTGTAATCCTTTAAATAGGCGTCAAGGAGGAATGAAAGGCCCTAATTTTGTTCTACAATGGGTGTCATGAAATGTTGAAAAATTACAGTCAATCAAAAAAACTGTTCACATGACAACAAAAAATATTCAGTATATTTAATATGCATTATTTTTTTGTTAGTAACAAATGATCACGGTACGGCAGCTTACTTGTTTTCGAAGTGTTGCAATTGTTGATTAGTACTCAGTGGTGATTATATTAACGTACAAAAAATAAATTCGTTGAATTGTCATGAAATGCAAGTAAAATTCAACTTAGTTTTATCGTAAGCAAATGATTTCGATTACATGCTAACGCTCCATGCCATACGATATCCGCCATGTTATCCATGCTGACGAGGTGTGTTTATTGATCAGATAGGTCAAGTCGCTAATCAACCAATCAAAATGCTGGATGGTGCCCATGTGCTCAAATTACCATAAACATTTAAATATGTTAATGACAGTTCAGTGACTTCATGGTGAAAGCAACACGGAAGATATTTACCGATGTTTTAGTGCGATCTTTTGGCTTCGTTTTTCATGGGAAAAAAGGCATGATTTTTTTTTTAATCTGCCCGATTTAGAAAAATGAATAAACGTATCATCCCAAACAAGAATGCACCGGGTGGAATTTTTCGGGGAAAAAAATAAATGTACAGGTACGTTTATTTGGGACAAGTAGCGTTCTGGGAAAGCTCTCCGAGTAGCGACATATTTTTAACTTCGCATTGGCGTGATCAGTGAATTACGTAAATAAACCAACACTTTCAATGAGTACATGCCGACCCAACAAAACTTGAGGACGCATCTCATAGAACAATAGCTGTGGAAATCATAATGTAAATGTTGCGGAAATCAAGCATGGCGATAATGATTTTGAGCGAG